CAAAAAAAAAAAAAAAAAAAAAAAAAAAAAAGTTTAAGGTGGTTTTAAAAAAGAATAAAGTTGATGAAGTGATTGTAATAACAGGGAAGGAGTTATGATCTTGAGTTAGAAAAAGACGCAAATTTCTACACTGCTAAGGATGCACAACTAGGTTGAAAAATGCAGAGAAACATACTGAGTGCTCCTTCCCGTTTTAGTTTTTTGCTACCACCATCCCACCATGGCTCACACCGTCATTCCTCTTGTCACAGATAAAAAAGACCAATATTTAAACAAATAACAAACTCCCCAAACGAAGCTGTAATGAAATAGTAAAGAGGAACAGAAAGAAACTAGAGAAACGTTTGCTTGTTCAACCAGTATTAATGGAATATCTGACATTTATTTTATATGGTGTATTAACTCTATTACACAGAATCTACTGCGGCACTAAAAAGGACAGTGGTTTTTTTTTCTTGCTCTGTGCATCAAAGCTTAACGAAAAATAGAACTTTTAATCAGAGTCATAATCATGATCAATCTTTAATAATTCAGCTGCTGTATTGCCTGCCACATTTTAGTTGGAGGTTATGGGGCCGGCCCTTGCTGATTTGCAAGGAAAAGGCAGCGCCAGGTGCATCCCTGAGCGCCCGATTTTCCAAGGCCGCCCCTGGGTACTGGAAGGAGAGGGGGCGTAGGGCCCAGCCGGATCAGGGGCGCCGGATCGGGTCTAGGACTTCCCCGGGCTGCTGCCCTTCGCTATTTCTCAGGTGGGACGATGGCGGCAGCGACCTTGTGGGATAGGAGAGGGTATCTGTCATTTCACTTCTGCGAGATAAACATGCCAAAAAATTTAAAAAGAAAAAAAGGACAAAGAAAAACACTTCGTTGTCTTTTTCTTTTTTTAACCGAAGCGTTTAAGGGATTTTGAAAGCCAAAAAGAGCCGCCTTGGGGCCATGGTTCCACTGGGGCTCGAACCCAGGACCTTCTGCGTGTAAAGCAGACGTGATAACCACTACACTATGGAACCGCTGCAAGCAGACTTGTTGTAACTGTATTCATCACAGCGGTTTCAGCCCCCTCCACCGGAGCCCCGCCCCTCCACTGTGACCCCGCCCCTGAGGCGCGGAGTTTGCGGCGGCTCCCGGCCTCTGGCTCCGGCATTTGGGCGGCTAGTCTTCCCTGCCCGTCAAGAGTTACGGCCCCTGGGACCAGGGCAAGGCCGGGGCTCTGGCCGACAGCGCCTCCCCGTCACCAGTCCCCAAACTTTCCCTTAGCCGAGGCGCCGGCGGGGCGGCCCGGCGGCCGGAAGTGCACTCTGCTTGGGCTCGGCGCCCCTGGCAGCTCCCTCCGTCCCCGAGGGCCTCGCGCCTTCCCATTTTCCCCACCGACAAACTGAGTCTCGGCCCCCATCCCCGGCCCACTTGCCCGTCGGAAGTCAGAACGTCGCCGCTTGCGGCGGCGTGGAAGGCGTCGCCTCCGGAGCAGGGAGGACAGGGGCAACCCTTGGAACCAAGTCAGGCAGCGCAGGGGATGAGGGTGGGCCGGGGGCAGTTTTGCGTTGGCGTCTGGCTTGCCAGGGTTGGAAAAGGCCGCTGGTTAGCGGGCTCCTTGCCCGAGGGTGTGGACCTCTTCCCGCTCGCCTGCCCCTTCCCGCAGTCTTCTTCCCCTCCCGAAGCCAGGCCTAGCGGAGGGTGCAAGTGGCAGGGCTTCCGTTGGGTCCCCTTGGTCTAGGGCTGCGGGGGTGGGGTGGGGGGCGAAGAGGTGTAGACCGGGCCATCCCTCTATGGCTTCCGGGGAGGCAGCGGCCCTGGCCACGTGATTGAGGAGCCCAGTGTAAAATGAAGATGCCAGGCCTCTTGTTAAGTTCTTGAAAATTTCACACGGTAAGTGCTGCGCATTCAGCCAGGCACGGGGCTCCTTGACCCTACTCAGGTCCTGGCTCTGACTTGCTTGCAGGACTGTGGTCTAGGTAAGGGGTTGGGACCCTCCATCACAAAGGGTGCTTCTTGCTTTTCATCATCAGTGTCATTTGCCTTCTTCAGGGTTTCTGGATGGATGTGCATCACCACCCTAGGATTGCTCATCATCTTCCAGCTTGAAAACCCACCTATAATCATTTGTGGGGGCGTCTTTAAGCACCCAGATGAACTTGGTCTGCAGGCGGCAGCTGTCCTTTTCATTGGATCATCCGCTGAGGTCGGTGGGTTGATAAAGTCATACTGATTTTATGGCAGGAACTTCCTTCAGCCAACTCCTGTCTTCAGGGAAGGACCTGGAAAAAACCAGGTGGGTGCAGGGAACACTAATGGGTCACAATCTAGATGTTCATCTTGATTTGGCCACTCATGAGCTGGGTACTCGACCTAGTCAGTTCACCTCCCATCTCTGTCTCCTCCTTTGTGAAATACAAGGATTGGACTTTCACCACTGTCACCTCTGGGTCTCAGTGTTATGCCCATCTTCCAGGTAGGAAAACAGAGGTAGTTATCTGCAATGTAATTGTACCCCAGAAATAGAGGCAGGCCAGCTAGTGTGTGAGTTTTCTAGTACCCGCTTCCCGATGTCCTCAGTTAGCTCTCTCATATTCATCATGGGGCCCCTTCCAGTCTGCTTTTGTGGTGAGACATTTTCAGAGGCCACTCGAGCACTTGAGGCCTAGATTGTGGGCTACCAGATGACCAGGAGTAGCCAGCCACCAGCCCGAGGATGCATTCGTGAGAGTTCCACGTTTCCCGCTAGTCAGCAAGCCTCAGGACTCCTGGGAAGCCTGATAATAAGTATATCCCACCTGTTTCCAAACCCCTAGCAGTCGAGAACACAACTGCCAGGAATTGGCCCTAAAATTACACCCACTGGTTGTGTTTTGGATGGTGTCTCTAGGAAGTGCTTTGCTCTCCAACCCTCTCTCCCCCTCCCCCCACCCAAAGATATGTTTGCTAAGTGCAAGCTTTGACCAAGTTCTCACACTTAACCTCCTTGTAGAAAAGAAGCTGGTGTCCCTCTGTTGCATGCAACACAGGTGTCTGCCATTGGTGAAAAACTCTTGTTCCTTTTCTCCATTCCAGGAGGGAGACTGTTCTGTTCTCGATCTGTTGCCCAGACTGGAGTGCAATGGCGCTATCTCGGCTCACTGAAACCTGTTCCTCCCGGGTTCAAGCGATTCTGCTGCCTCAGCCTCCCAAGGAGCTGGGATTACAGGTGCCTACCACCACACCCAGCTAATTTTTGTATTTTTAGTAGAGACCGGGTTTCACCAGGTTGGCCAGGCTGGTCTCGAACTCCTAACCTCAAGCACTCCACCTGCCTCAGCCTTCCAAAGTGCTGGGATTGCAGAAGTGAGCCACCGCGCCCTGTCTTACAGTCTCTTAGTAGTAAAATACAATATGGTTTGTAAAGCACTTTCTCCTACATTCCTGGGCCACAGGCCTGTGAGGTTGCTGTGGCAGGTATTATGACCTTCGTTTTTCAGCTGAAGAAGTTGCAACTGAAGTTTGAGTGCCTTGCCCGTGACCGGAAGCAGGGCTGGGAAGCCACAGGGCTGGACTCTGGTTGGGCCTTCTGATACCTGAGTGGCTGCGGGAAGCCCACGTTCATGAAGGCCTCATGTTATTCCTGAAAGAGTGCCATTGGTCTCTTCTGTTTTGTTTGCATGCCAGTGAGGAAATGGATCCTTTTCAAAACAATCTTTTGTAATTTTTTTTTTTTTTTTTGAGATGGAGTCTCGCTCTGTCACCAGGCTGGAGTGCAGTGGTGTGATCTCAGCTCACTGCAACCTCTGCCTCCCAGGTTCAGTCAGCCTCCCGAGTAGCTGGAATACAGGCATGCACCACCACACCCAGCTAATTTTCTTTTTTTTTTTTTTTTTTATTAGAGATAGGGTTTCACCATGTTGGTCTGGATGGTGTCGATCTCTTGACCTTGTGATCTGCCCACCTCAGCCTCCCAAAGTGCTGGGACTACAGGCATGAGCCACTGGCCCTGGCAATCTTTTGTAATTTTTAAACAAAGTACTCAAAAGTAGGAACTGAAGCTGGGTGGAGCGGCTCACTCTCAGCACTTTGGGAGGCTGAGGTGGATGGATCAAGTTGAGGTCAGGAGTTCAAGACCAGCCTGGGCAACATGGTAAAACCCCATCTCCACTAAAAATGCAAAAAAAAAAAAAAAGTTAGCTTGGTGTGGTGGCGCACACCTGTAATCCCAGCTACTCTGGAGGCTGAGGCAGGAGAATCGCTTGAACCCAGGAGGTGGAAGTTGCAGTGCGCCGAGATCACGCCACTGCATTCCAGATTGGGTGGCAGAGCAAGACTCTGTCTCAAAAAAAAAAAAAAAGTAGGAACTGAGAACCTACTGGAAGCAACAGTTGGTGACTTTCACCTGGAAACCATCAGAGCCAGGGATAAGGCCTCAGATGGCCACGGTTTTGCCTGGCACTTCAGTCTGTTCAGTGGGATTTGTGAGGCCTTCACCCCCAGGTATACCCACCAGCATCTGAACAGCTATAAGAAAAACACATAAACTCAAGAAGTGTAGAAAGCACTTCAGACTTTCGGAGTTCTCTGACTTCTCAGATGTTTAATGTTGTTTCGCCAGGGTCTGACTTCACTGATGGAGAATAACCCCACCAAAGACACCACAGGCCCAAACGCTGAGCTTCGTTAGAAAGCTTGGTTTACCTGATAGCATTTAGGAGCTGTGGTACTCTGTCCTTCAGGAAGTATTGAGTATTTACTAAGAAAAGTGAGCTATTGCCTTAGTAGGGCAGAGCTCACCTTATCTTCCCTTTCCATAGCTCATCATGTTTAGAACATCTTGAAACTACCCTGTTGTGATGGTCATTTGTCACTTTTTGCCACTCTCACAGTCCCTTACACTCCTCTATCATCTTACCCAGCTCAAATTTTATTTATTTATTTTTTAAAGACAGGTCTTCCTCTGTCACCTAGGCTGGAGTGCAGTGGCACGATCTTGGCTCACTGCAACCTCTGCCTCCTGGATTCAAGCGATTCTCCTGCCTCAGCCTCCTCACTAGCTGGGATTACAGGCACCCACCACCACACCCAGCTACTTTTTGTATTTTTAGTAGAGATGGGGTTTTGCCATATTGGCCAGGCTGATCTAGAACTCCTGGCCTCAAGTGATCCACCTGCCTTGGCCTTCTAAAGTGCTGGGATTACAGGCGTGAGCCACCACGCCAGCCCCACCCAGCTCAAATTCTGTGGTCATTTTTTGTCACTCTTGTTTGGCCTTTCATTTCTTCCTTGTGCTTATTGGCAAGACCACAATCTCTTACATCTGACTGTCTCCCTACCCTGCCCCTGAATACGGCCCAAGAAAAACACATCGAAGCTGAGTGGTTTCACACTAAATTCATGACCGCTTAGCTCAGGCGAGCCCTTACTGCAGTCCAGAATTGTGTCCACTTCTCTTAAAGGACAGTTTCATGTCCTATCTTTGTAAACCTCCTGTACCTCCAACCCCCATTTTGGTTACAGCTGATGACCTAGCTTCCTATTGCGGTGAAAAAAAATGGAAGCAGTCAGAACTTCCGCAAGTCCCCTGCTGGCCACCGTGTGCTCTCATGCTCTTCCTCCAGATCAGGGCAGGTTGGAACTGGCTAACTCTGTCGTGGGGGCTGTCCTGTGTCTTGTAAGATGTTTTGCAGCATCCCTGGCCTCTATTCACTAGAGGCCTGTAGCACACATCCTCCCCTGCCACCCATTTGTGATGACCCAAAATGTCCCCTGGGGGACAAAACCTTGGGAGCTATTTGGCAATGTCTGGAGACACTTTTGTTGGTTATGACTGGGAGAGGGGGAGTATAGGCACCCAGGAGGGAGAGGCCAGAGACACTGCCAAACATCCTGTGGTCCCAGCTACTCCAGAAGACTGAGGCAGGGAGGATCCCTTGAGCTCAGAAGATCGAGGCTGTAGCGAGCCATGATTGCACCACTGCACTCCAGCCTGGGTGACAGAGTTCTAAAAAAAAAAAAAAGGGGGCGGAGTGCAGTGGCTCACGCTTGTAATCACAGCACTTTGGGAGGCTGAGGCAGGCAGATTGCTTGAGCTCAGGAGTTCGAGACCAGCCTGGCCAACATGGCAAAACCCCATTTCTATAAAAAATACAAAAAAATTAGCCAGGCTTGGTGGTGTGCAGCTGTGGTCCCAGCTACTCTGGGGGACTGAGGCAGGGAGGATCCCTGGAGCCTAGAGAGGTCGAGGCTGTAGATCGTGCCACTGTACTCTAGCCTGGGTGACAGAGTGAGACCCTGTCTCAAAAACAAAAAACAGAAAAAGCTCTCTTAATTCCACTTCCACCTGTGCTACTTCCATTCCTCAGCTCTCCCTTATAACAACACAATTCTTAGAGTTGTCTTTGGGGCTCTCTCCAGTTCTGTCCCCTCATTGGGACTTGTCCTAGCTCTCCACCAAAATTCCTCTAATCCAGTGACTTCCGCATTGCTCCACAGAATAGCTCTTCCTTTTCATCAGATTTGATCTACCAGCAGCATTGAAAACAGCCCATCACTCCGTTTTAAGGTACTCTCCTCTTGGCTTTTCGGATGTGGCCCTCTCGTGATGTTTGTTTCCTCTCCCTGCATACTCGCTTTCGGTCACTGTTGCTGGCGCCTAATCTCTTTGTCCTTTAAACACAGATGTACCGCAGAGGTCTTGGTGCTTGGACTTCTCTATGTATTCTCGCCACCGCAGCAACCTCATTCACTCTAATGGCTTTCGATATCATTGAGAACCTAGAAGATTCCAAGTGTATATCTCTAGTCTAGACTTTCCTCCCAAACTCCAGACCTACATGTTCAGCATCTCCATTTAGATGTCTGTTAGGCATCTCACATGTCTGTGTCCATGCTCCTGATCTCTGCCCCTAAATCTACTCCTCTCTCTGTTTTTTTTTTAAAGACAGTTTTACTCTGTCGCCCAGGCTGGAGTGCAGCAGCGCCATCTCAGCTCACTACAACCTCCGCTGCCTGGGTTCAAACGATTCTCATGCCTCAGCCTCCCAAGTAGTTGGGATTACAGGCATGCACCACCACATCTGGTTAATTTTTTTTTTTTTCTTGAGACAGAGTTTTGTTATTGTTGCCCAGGCTGGAGTACAATGGTGCAATCTCTGCTCACCACAACCTTCGCCTCCCAGGTTCAAGCGATTCTCCTGCCTCAGCCTCCTGAGTAGCTGGGAT